GGCAATCCAGTCGCTGGATCGAAATGATTTTCAAAGATCTTTGATCTTGGAAGAGGAGGTAGATTTCGTGCGAGGGGACAAAGCGGATTCTTATCCTTGTGGATCTTTACAATATCGTCCCACGGCATGATGGTGTCTATGTCGATACGTGAATGACAGTCAACACAAACTATGTATTGTTTAGACGATAGATTGCATCTTATAAAACCCGCCTTTGCAAGTATCTTCGGATCAATAACATACGAGGACGACTCGTGCCCAAACGTCATTCTACGGTTATATTCGCTTTCCATACCACTAAAATCGACACGATATTGCTGATCGTCGATATGTAATGGAATATTTTGCGACATGACAGTATCGTGAACAGACATAATGCCAGGTCATATGACTGTTTATAGGCAAGGTTGAAAAGAAATATATACACATTTATACACCTAGAACTATTTTATATTCAAATCGTAAATCACACACCTACACGATTACAAGGAAACTACACGTTTACAAAGGAATATTAACGATAAAATGACAGTAGTATTCTCAGTTACACGTTAGCGATTTTCTCTCTAAGTATACATTATATGTGCATGTCTCATGATCTTTATATCATCATTGTAAATAATGATATTGCGAGATCTTTCTTTTTTTACAAATAGGGTTCGAGAGTATATTTAATCTTCTTTCTACAAATAGGACACCTTGTTTGAGTCACTATACAATTACCACAACACGACATATGACGACAGGGAAGAGTAACCGTCTTTACGCAAGAGTTCATACAAATCTTGCATAAGTATCGATCGCTAATTACATTGTCAGGAGCCTCTGTAAATAAGGAAAGTTATATGTGCAGAATATAACACACATATAAAGACACATGTACATCACTTTCTTTTCAAAAACATATATATATTTTACTTGACAACATAGGATCTTACCCTTTATTTCAGCATTTCTTTCTTCCTCTTCCTGGCGTTGGTGGTGTTTCCTAATCACACTGAATACATCACAGGAATCTCTATCATCATTATTATTATCTTCATTATCATCTTCATTATCATTACTACTACTACTATTATTATTATTACTATTACTATTACTATTATTATTATTATTATTATTATTACTGTTACTACTACTACCACCACTACTCCTATCGTTGTTATTGATTAATCTAGAAAGCTGAATTATACGATTCCATACATAAAAGAGAGAGATGCTATCCCTCTCGCGGAAAAATAAACTCATGACATGATCAGCTAGCCCTCTATTAAGTTGTTCTGATGCTAGACGATACTCCAGCTGAAACCTGAAATCGCTATTATGAGACGGATGCGGAATAGTGAACGATAATTTATGTTGATACATCGGCGTTGCGCCAGGGTTATAGGAAGGTTGTCTGAATAGAAATATCGCCTGATCCGGTTTGAATAAATTAATAGAGATATCCGGATCTACATCTCGATTCACGTTGAATATTCTCTTAAGGTCCATCAAAAAATACATCACAGAATATACCGCATGATAATTTTGAATATATTCCGTGCTCATACGGCTGATCTTTTTTGCTAAGGCTTATATCCATATTACCGTATGCTACGATTTTCTCTCTCGCATAATAAAGACCTTCCTGTTTGGTACTAAATGGGACTTTATGAACTAGAATCCGTTCTCGAATACAATCTCTGACGGCAGCAACTGGAAAGAGTGACATCAGCAAATCTTTGGTGATATCCAGACCCATAACAGCATTCCAATCTTCGTCCGTTACAGAATAAGTTCTCTCAAGAGTAGGTTTTCTAAAAAGCGCACTCTTGACCATCTTCGCCTTGAAAGTAAAAGATTGATTAATGTTAACACTCTATGATCAAATGATACATATTGAAAACTATGCATCTCGTATATACAACCACATTAATGCAAGCTAGAAAGTGCATATTAGAATATCTGGAGCACATAGCATCTTACCGTATCGATATATGTTTGTCCCTTTAAGGTTCGAACATAATAACACTCAGGATTCCACATAGCGTGTTGTATCCATGGGTCATCATCCCTTTCCCAATTGCGAATACCGACACCACAGTGGAAACAATTTACGTGGTCGCCGTAGCCTGAAAACGGAGGATTGGTATCAATAGTGACACTTCGATCCGAAAATAGAAGATAATTCTTCGCTCAGTTAGTTACATATCCACTAAGACTCACAACTGTCTAATCTGTCTAAAGAGGTTTACCAGAATAAAAGAATCCAGCAGCTATCAGTCTTTTGGGGAGCATTGCATCTCCCAGAGGCCAATCGTCATAGGTATATTTGCGACTTCTTGACGTTACGAAATTTTCGTGCTTTGGTCCAGAATACGATTTGATACCCATCTCCGATAATCTGTTACCAGCACCGGTTCTCGAGGATCTGTCATTTTCCGACTCGCGTGAATCTCCACCGTCTTCTTCGCCACTAGATCCACGGCTTCTTCCTTCTTTGTCATCACAGCTGTTTTTCTCGTTATCTGTCTCTTGATGACCGATGATCTTACTTATAATCTTATTTATACGAATAGGTACATTACCGGTTACCTTTCCCTGTGCAAAATCACAGTAGGCGTCAGTCAAATGTTTTTCTGTTATATGTTGAGACGTAGAAGTGTGTCGAGCACAGCAAAAGTACTGTGTGCACGGTTTAAACGATATGCGCACCTTGCAACAGAAACAAATGCATTCAGAGTTCCTTCTCGAATAAAAAAAGCCAGCGGCGGCAAGATCCCTTGCTTCTATTACTTCGCCTACCGGCCAGTCTATAAAAGTTTCTAGTCTTTTCGTTTCGTATCTTAAATCAGATGCAACAACTAGTCTCGATCTCGGAAGTGAAGGTAAATTCCGTGCGAATACACAACTTGGGCTATTTATCTGGTGAACTTCCACGATGTCATCAGTTTTTCCAATGTCACTGATGTCGATGTTTAATTTACATCTGAAACAAATCAGTCTCTTATCTAGTTCATAGAAACCAGCTTTTGCCATTATTTTTGGATGGTGAACATATTGATCATAATCCCTATATGTATTTGCTCGATGTGTCTCCTCGCACATACGGGTAAGATCACGATCAATATCAGTTGCATTGTCCATGTTCCCTGGATCAGACATTTTAATCTATGGATCGTGTAATATAAACTGGTATTCGATCTATAGTGTAGTTGCACAACACACGTGTGTGTGTGTGTGTGTGTGTGCTGTGTAAAATCATATTTATGTATCAGAATTAGTCTGTTGTCCCATCGAAATGACAAATTGATCACGGTCCTTGAATCTACAACATTATATATTTCTAATTTTATGATTCGTCTTTATTGAGTCGTGTTTAGTATAATTATGAAAAATAGCCATTTAACCTGAAATTGAGAGTTGGATATGTCTGAAAAACTGGACATGTCTTAAAAGTGGACATGCCTTAAAAACTGGACATGTCTTAAAAGTGGACATGCCTTAAAAACTGGACATGTCTTAAAAGTGGACACATTTTAAAAGACTGGACATGTCTTAAAAGTGGACATATTTTAAAGGTGGACACACCTTAAATACTGGACATGTCTTAAAAGTGGACATATTTTAAAGGTGGACACATCTTAAAAACTGGACATGTCTCAAAAGAGAACACACCTTAAAAGTGGACATGTTTTAAAAGTGGACATGTTTTAAAAGTGGACATGTCTTAAAAATGGACATGTTTTAAAAGTGGACATGTCTTAGACGTGGACATGTCTTAAAAGCGGACATGTCTTAAAAGTGGACATGTTTTAAAAGTGGACATGTTTTAAAAGTGGACACATCTTTAAAAGTGGACACATTTTAAAAGACTGGACATGTCTTAAAAGTGGACACATCTTTAAAAGTGGACACATTTTAAAAGACTGGACATGTCTTAAAAGTGGACATATTTTAAAGGTGGACACATCTTAAAAACTGGACATGTCTCAAAAGAGAACACACCTTAAAAGTGGACATGTTTTAAAAGTGGACATGTCTTAAAAACTGGACATGTCTCAAAAGAGAACACACCTTAAAAGTGGACATGTTTTAAAAGTGGACATGTCTCAAAAGAGAACACACCTTAAAAGTGGACATGTTTTAAAAGTGGACATGTCTTAAAAATGGACATGTTTTAAAAGTGGACATGTCTTAAAAGTGGACATGTCTTAAAAGCGGACATGTCTTAAAAGCGGACATGTTTTAAAAGTGGACATGTCTTAAAAGTGGACATGTTTTAAAAGTGGATATGTCTTAAAAGTGGACACGCCTTAAGATGTGGACATATCATAATATATGAACATGTCTTATACTATGTCATGAAATGTATACATGTCTAATAACATATCATAAAATATATACATGTCTAATAACATATCACGAAATATGTATATTTGTCACTAAGAAATATACGACATCTTTATAAAGTGAGTAGTCAATATAAAGTTTTGTTAAACTGTAATTATTCCGAGAAGATATAAAAGATTCTTGGAAGGAAGAATTGAACTACATATGATTTTTAAACTTAGTGATTAGTCGGCATGAAATGATTTCTAAAACCGATTTCTGTATCTTTATATTAGGGGTGATATTATATTAATATAACAATTTGAATTTTGAAGTAACTATAAGTCTATCTTCTCGACGCTTCTCCTCTGTCAGTGTTTCATCTCTAACGTATTGTAAGATCGATATGAACGAAGAATCCTTTGTTAAATATTAAAAACGATTATTCCGAAATGTTTTGTTGAATGCTCAAGACCGACGGATATATATATTTAGAAACATGGCTTATCTATTTAAACACTGACTGATGGTATAAAGAGTTAGACTTGACTCGACTCTCTCCTCCTCCGGTTCCTGTACTTTTAAGCGTAGTGTAAACATATTTTACATCGGGAGAAGATCTCTAATTCGTCTATAAGAAATAATGTTTTCATAGCCATTGCCAGATCAATGTAACTGAAGACATAATGGATATATCACATCCTAACAATTTTCTGCAACAGGAAGAACATCGGTTAGCCACGTTCAGCGGACATGAGATATTTCCCATTGATATTAGGAAATTGGCCGAAGCCGGATTTTACAGTACGGACGCAGGGAATATTGTGAAGTGCTTTGATTGCAATTTGGAAGTTGATGTTACAATTCTCGCAGTGTCAGATGACATCGTTAAGATTCACAGGGAGATGAACCCTCATTGCTCATTCGCGTGCAAACTGGCCACTAGAGTATACAGGAACATGACGTTCGTCACCTACGATTCTCTAAGATACGAAGAACAGCGATTAGGAACCTTCATCGACTGGCCTCATGAATGGCTGAAACCGTCAGAATTGGCGGTCGACGGATTTTACCATCTCAGGAAAAGGGATTACTGTGCGTGTATCTTCTGCAGAGGGATAGTTGGAGCCTGGGAACGGGGTGACACGCCAAGAGGAGAACATCAGCGCCATTTTCCTCACTGTCCCTTTATTAGGGATCAGCCAGTTGGAAATGTTCCCATTATTCTTGGCAATATTTTAGCCAGGTTACCGGCACTACATGTGAGTCTGGACGATTGCAGATCGTCAAGACGTGTTAAGGCCGACGTTTGCGGATTATCGTCAAGACACATGGCCGGATCATATCCCGAATGCAGTGAGTAATTTGATATCTTTTATCGTTGATTAGTATTTATGAATATTATATCTAACTCTTTACCCGTGAGCTCAATCCAGATTCATTCCCTGTTATCGTTTCGTCACACAGGAGGATCTCTGGAGGGAATTGGTCTCTCCCAGCATTCTGGACCGACACGAAGTGATTTCATGACAGTAGATAGCCGATTGGAGACCTATGTCGAATGGCCTGAGGATATTGGTCTGCATATACAAGATCTTGCCGAAGCTGGATTTTTCTACTGTGGTACAACGTTTATATATATATGTATATGTATATAAGTAATAGTAGATTAATTGCAGGTTTTAAATATTGATAAAAACATCAGCTCGTTAAGAACTCTGGAATTGGTTGCATCTTCTCTATCAAAAGAAACATTTCGCAAAAGAAACAGTTACCGTTATTATTTTCACAGGTCTGAGTGATCATGTTCGCTGTTTCCACTGCGGTAAGGGTCTTCGCAATTGGATATCTAGCGATATACCTTGGAAGGAACACGCTAGATGGTATCCTACATGCAGATTTGTTTTATTGATGAAAGGCCAGGACTATATCAATAAGGTATGTATATACCTCTTAAGTGTATCTTATTTTGTTGGATAATTTTAATAATTACTGTTTTATTATTATTATTATTTTCATTAGATTACTATTACTATAATACTAATATTGTTATAATTTCTTTTAGGTCCAGCAAGAATATCCACCATACACCCGCATAGCAAGTACTATATATTCGGGTATCGATAAAGCTGCTTCCGGTAGCAGTAATAATCCAACGGAGGTGCAATCCATATCCGAACAAGAATTGGATCTATTGATGAGTTTGGATATCGCCAAGGGTGTACTGAGACTGGGATTTCCTAGTTATATAGTCAGGGCCACCCTTAAAGATCGGGTTGAACAAACCGGCGAACCGTATATCAGTATACAGCCTTGTCTTGAAGATGTCATACAGAGAATGAACGAAACAGAGAATCAGGTTGCAGATAATCGTTCTGAAAGTACAGAGTGTGAGCCGTCATCTGGCGAGACTGATATTTTATCTTCGATATCTGAACAACAAACTTTTGTATTCCCATCTACGTCTGGAACCATGGAGAATCGGGTTGCAAATATTCAGTCGCTTCCATCCGAATCTACCGAGGTTGAACTATTATCTCAACAACAAGTTTCTATATTGCCATCTACATCTGAAATAAGACGACATCAAGCTTCGGTATTTCCATCTACATCTGAAATGATACGACAACAAGCTATACCCTCTACTGCACCTCTGACTACAACGTTATCATCATCATCATCTGAACGAGAAAATACCGAAACTGAAACAAAGCATATTTTGCAAATAGTCGAAGAATTCATATCGCAGACTAGTGAAGAAGAAGAGGAGGAATATGAGGAAGAAAAAGAATTCAAGTCAAAACAATCTTGTAAGTATAAACTATATTATAATTGATTATTCTAATTTTTCAATTATAGATGAATATATGGTTATTATCATTGTTAGTTATTATTATTATTATCATATATTATATTATTATTAACACTTTTATTGATCATCTTTCTATTTTAGATGAACAGCTGAAAGAGGAACTCGAACAGATGCGTGAAAATCGCACATGTAAAGTGTGCATGGACAGTGAAATAACTGTAGTGTTCCTTCCATGCGCACATATGGTTACGTGTGCTTCCTGTGCTGTATCCCTGAGACAGTGCCCCATCTGTAGAAGTGACATCAAATATGCATGTAGACCTATTGTATCCTAATAATATTCATATGTATGTTTACATATTTAACCGTATTCAAGTGTTTTATTTCATTCCTTTCATATAAATAATCACCACCAGTTATAATATGACACACACAGACACATATACACACGTAATAATATGCACGTTATATATACGTGATAAGCGTGTATATAAACTCTTAGCAATAAATAACAACAATGACTATATATAAGATAATAAATATCATTACCTGACAATGAGAGAATGCGGAAAGATATACTAATCGTCGGTGGTGAGAATACTGAATTTAAAAAAATCTTATCGCGATAAACGTGTATATAAATTTATGAATAAATAACAACGATGACTGTATATAAGACAATGAAAAACATTACCTGACAATGAGAGAATACGGAAAGATATACTATTCATCAATGGTGGGATTACTGAATGCACTGACAGAAGCCGGTTATCCGATATCGACACATGATCTCTCTGACAGAGACAATATTAAATCGTCATACGGAGACGATGGCGTAATATTAACCCATGCATCTGAAGAAGCTCTTTGTTTAACATTATACTGTGCACTGGGATTATTGATGGAAAAGGGAATAACCGTAAATTTGAACAAATCTAACGCTGCAGAATATCTGTTACATTTCCCTACAGTGAAAGTCGAAGTCAGACCAAATTATGAAACCAATACCATCGTGAGAGGGAGAATACAAAGAAATGACGATCGCATTGCTATTGGTGAAGAACCTGTAAATACTAGCGACATCTATAACGGCGGAAAGGAGTATTTGTATCAAAATAAAGCGCTATATTCTCACAGCAGCGGTCATTTGAAAACTGTTATTATCGAAAGCAAAGGACGAGGACAAACAGCGAACGATACTCTTTCAACTGTTTTATATATAGATTCCTATGACAGAAGTCGGTTACCTGATATCATCGAGGATATTGCGAAATATCCTTTGAAGTTTTTCAGAGCTATAATATTGAGAGGTAAACTACTCTAACTATAATAATGTATGACTATATTGATTATAAGCTCCTATTTTTTGATGAAGATGTTATTCACCGCATAGAGCAGCTACGGAGTCAAGCGTTATTTGTCACTGACGGTATAAGAAAAGTACAGAAGCATGATAGTTTGCTATTTTTAAAAAAGAAGATATATACCGTGAACAATGTTATGAAATTGGCATCGTGTACTGCAAGTGATGATGATGATGATGATGATGCTGATACAAACAGCTCTATACACATAGATACAATTAGTGCTTTAATCTACGGTATTTTAAATGAAGGCTGGAGTGAATGTACCATGAGATGTATAGAAAACGAATTGGTAGACAAGTGTCTTATTTACAAATATATCACGGAGGAAGAATACAATTATTATAGGAAAAAAAACAGCAATAGTGACAATGATAAGAATGAGAATGATAGTATTCCATATATAATAGATTTCTTGTGGAATATGTGTTATTTTGATAAATTATATCGCGACAGATATCTGAAAAAAAACATGACTTTAAAGCTGATTGAAAAGAGTACATTATCGATGTCTAGAAATGTTTTGATTAAACATGATGATTTATCCTTTTTTCACTTACCGACCGCAGCCGGAATTGCGATTTATGAGTATCTCACACACAGAGATACAAATTTAAGATTAGTAAAAGAAGCAGCAAAGATGCTAGTAGCTGAAGAGAAATATCTTCGATATTCAAGAAATATAAGAAATACTATAGAAGATGATACAACAAACAAGAAGAAAAATATTCGTCTGAGTTATATTAGCAAGAGAAGTAAAACGAGTTGTGCACTACTGTTATGCAAATCTGCATCTAAAATTAATTACTCTAATAGGGATACAAAGAGTAAATTGTTCAACCTACAATGGTTATTCAATGTAACTGACATACAAAACCAAAAGTTCAAGAAATGTCTGGGTATCATATATGATAGCATAGATGTAGGCAATATGCTACCCACCACTAGTCTAGGTCAGAAGAGCAAACCACTTGACTGGTACTATCGAATTATGAATACTGATATTGTCCCACTCGATCAACATAACGGGTATTCAGAGTATAGACAATGTCACCGTGAGGAAGAATATGAAGAGAAAGAACATATATACGATAATATCAATGAAGAGAACACTTATCTTATAATGAATAAAAATACAAATACTGCTGATCATCTGACACCAACAACATTGTCAGATACCAACATTAACATTGTACAAAAACACAGTGAGATGCAAATAGAAACAGGCTATAAAGAAGAAAATGGATATTATAAAGAAAAGAAAAATAATGATAATAATAATAACAGCAACAACTACAATACACCAAATAAAACAATACCTGTCATATTTCCAAATGATGTAAAATATGACGTCCCCCAAAATATATGTAAAAGTATTTTTGAAATAGACAAGTCGATGAAGCATTATAACACCTTACCCGTTGATGAGAAAAAGAATAGAATTCACAGGACGGAGACGTTTACGCCAATAGTGCCATCGTCATCGTCATCCGTCTCTGTCTACGACATACCCAAAAAGGCAACAACAAGTATCTATAACTGCAAGAGTTTAATGATTCAATGTCATAAATGTCAAAGATATAACATATCGCCGTATGTCGTAAAGTGCAATGGATGTCGATGTTAGTGCAGTACCAGCGGGCACGGAGGAAAAGAAATGTGTTGCGCGATGAGGTGAATATATTCCCATCTCTTCATCTGCAGATATCGATCTCTCACTCGCTCAATTGCCCACTCACTGCTGATCCAACCCAGCCCTACAAAAGTAGCATCATGAATAGCTACAGCATGAAATGTAAAAGTTTGAGATACGAATCAGAACGATTGTTAAGAGTTTGGCATGGAACGGATTCTATCGAAAATGCCCAGATGACCTAGTTTGCTATTTTTGTGGAGTTTGTATAAGCGTGGAAGACTATTCCTCTCTTATCGAAAAGGGATCTGGATACATGAATATGAAAAATATTCACTATAAATCATGCCCTTTCATATATGGAAACTCTTCTATGAACATTACTCGAGAACAGGAAATATTAATTTTGGAAATGATGAGACGTTATTGTACACGATACGCCAAGCGGACTAGAACGTTGTATAAAACACCCCAAAAACGCTTCTTGTCTTTTACAAATTTCCCAAATAAATATTGCAATGTTGATCATATGGTTCAGAGTGGATTTTATTTCACGGGTGAGTTGCGCATTTTCGTATAGCTTTGTATTTGTGTGTGTCTCAGTACATCGATTTCGGGTATGTGTATATCAACGAGCCTCCTTTTTATCTATACTTTTCAGGTGAATTGGATGTTGTAAGGTGTTTCTCCTGTCAAATTAACATATATGGATGGCAGCACAATGATGATCCTATAAGTGTTCACGCCCAATGGTCTCCTGATTGTGAATACATCCAGGCTATAGTTGATGATAACTTCATTGATAGTGTAAGTTGATTGAAGATAAAATATATTGTGTAACGATTCTATTGTTACTATATATACGTGTATATTGTTGCATGACGTGTGTGTCTCCTATTTTCAGGTACGGGATAAGAGATATGATATATTAGTCGATCCAAATGTTTATCAAACACTGAAGGACTGTGGAATTCCTGATTATATTATACGGCATGCACATCGCAGACATATAATTCAGAGTGGTGAACTTTTTACAAATGCTGCCCAGTGTTTGTCGGTTATCGAGAAACTGTATAATTTCAAAGACAAGCAGAATCACGGGTAGATGCTCATATGTATAAGTAAGTGTATATTGGATATGGAGTTAGAATATATGTATAACCAACCTGTATATATGTTTTATATTTTAACCATGGACGATTATATAAATATGTGTTAAGTGAGTGTATTCTGTAGAAGATATGTAATTATAAGATATAACCAAATTGTATACTATAGCTCTAATACTGTAAAAGAAATACACAATATAGATCAAATCTGCGTATAACATTTGTCATACTGGATGCTGCAGCTATACTGAAGATTGTTTTTGTAATATATAATGGGATTAAGAGAAACAAGAGTTTTAATCGCGAATATTTCATTAACCAATATTCGTATACATGAATATATCCTGTAAAATACTATAAACAACAAACAATAAAAAAATATCACATCACAGCCGTAATCTTATTTGTGACCTTACAGACTCGTATATTTTCTTGGTTACTGTCTGAGGATCGTAACCTTCATATGTGTATATGTCTTCTAATTCCTGTCTCTTGTTTTCTATGACTGCAAGACTCGGCTTCTTCTTCTTGGTTATATTAGCACGAAACACTTTCTTGATCAGTGCGAGATGGCGAGGCGTAAATCTGTCATCGCGTCTTTTCGCTGTGTGTTTACTAGATGTATCCTTGCTGGTACTGGGAGAAGCATAATTGTTGCCCTTGCTAGTATTTGGATTAACATCATCGCCATCCATATCGGTACTCGTTATACTCGCACCATCTCTCCCATCATCGACAGCCTCCATATCTTTGCAGTAATCAGAACGGATAATTAATTCAGCGGATATGTTAGAAAAGGTAAAAGGTGACGATTTCATAATAAGATGGGGTCCTATCGAATTTGATTCAATCGTGTGTGTTCATAATATAACTGTTGACGACATAACGCATCATATGTAATTTATAATGAAGGAACATTAACATTTCTAATGTCGCTAGGAACAGTGTCCCTATACTCACTCGATGTAACGATATCGCTATCATCGCTTGTAGTATCATCATCCGCAGTAACCGCATCGGCGGAAGAAGTATCAACAGTAGCAGCAACAACAGCACCAGCACCGGCGAACACAACTGTTGAGGACAATAATGTGTCATACGTAATTTATAATAAAGGAACATTAACATTGCTAATGTCGCTAGGAACAGTGTCCCTATACTCACTCGATGTAACGATATCGTTATCATCGCTTGTAGTATCATCATCCGCAGTAACCGCATCGGCGGAAGAAGTATCAACAGCAGCAGCAACAACAGCACCGGCGATGATCTCGCCAGCGTCCGCTTCGTCATCACCCTGACGTTCGTCCTCCTTTCCGTGCAATCGATCCTGAAGCATCTTTGAGAGACGATTTGCGGTGTCTAGAGCATCGAGATCGCGCTGCATCGCTTTGTAATCGCGTTTGGCGGTCTTCATGCTGTGTTTAAGGAGCGAGGCTGTCGCCTCTTGAATCTGGTCATTTCCCTCTTTGTGCGCCTGGGTGGTTAGGAACTTCCTGACAGTCGCTATCCTCAGTCTCGGTAGCCCGTACAGACGGAACAACTTCTTCATAAATCGCTGGATGTTAGCGAGGGAGAAGGGTTTTCCCCGCTTCGACGAGAAGACGTACTCGGATTCCCAACTCCTGTTTTGGACGAAGTTAACAATCATGTCGTGCTCTCTCGCGGGAATGCCGATCTGGTAGGGACCATACAGCGAGGAGGTCTTGTGGTTCTTCACCTTAATGACGACACCGTCGGTTGACCTGACCGCCTCCAAGACTTCGCTGACGAGCAGGTTTTTCACGACTCCCGTTCTCGCCCCCGCTCTGATGATCAGGGGCCATGCGAGTACAGCGTGGATGAGGTCGACGCTATACTCGTCGAGGGTGTCTCCGGGTCGATCGATCATGCCGTCCACGATATGCCGGTGTTTTGAGTACTGGATCAGAGGTCCCATCTCGTCGACCGTGGGTATATATTCGGCAGTCTTCCTGGCCATGTTCTCGAGATTTCCCCGTTTCCGACACAGCTTGGAGTAGAAGTTGTGTTCTCTGTTGTTTAACTCGCAGAGGGGATAATTCGCCTCGGAACACGCCCAATCTATGAAGCGTTTAAGATGACCCAAGATTACGAGGATGCTCGTATGTTTATACCGCCTCTTGAGTGCTTGGTAGAGGAGCTCGTATGACTTCTTGACCGTTCCGTATTCGATCAGGCTCATGATGGTCATTGATTGCTTCTCCAATATCTCGATCACCAGTCTCATGTTTCTCAGCATGCCTTTTCCGTCGACGGTTAGTCCTCCCCTCGACTCGTGGCCGATCCATGCCTGCACCGACACCGGAATTTTGGCCAGACCCTCCCTTCTCTCCTGATTCACCTTCTTCTTTTTCTCGGCAACTTTGCGCGGACGCTCCGCGTTCGCACCGAGAGCCGTTCTATATTCATCGCTACCAGGAATCAACTTGTGCACGTTCAGCAGGTGGCACTTCATGTGACGAACACCTTTGCCGCAGAGATTACAACTCTGGAGAGAGATGCCCGAGCGTTGAGACCTCGCCTCCCCATGGGCATTCTCGAGCTCTGCTCCCGTTATCTTGTGAATGCTCTTCAAGTGCCTCTTCAATTTAACGTATTGCTGAAGAGAAAAAGAAAGAGAGAGAGTAACGAATGAGAGAAAAGGAATATAAAGAGACTGGAAAGGTAGAAGAATATCACACATACACGTATTCTGTTGCTCATAACCGCATGCACGAATACGATACACATATAATGCACAATTACCTTATTACAAATGGAGCAAGTTAGTTTGTTGGGGTCTATTGTTGGACCACTTAAAATTTTCTTCACCTGGTTCTTCATTCTATGGTCCGATCCAATCGTCCCGGATGTCGTTGCTGCTACTATCGCTTTCCTCGTAATGTACACCACATCCTCCTGAAGATAGAGATACAACAAAAGGATAATACACGAGGCTTAAAAACTTGGACGTTAATATTTTTATAACGTTTGTTGAGACTGTACCGTACACTAACCTCGCGCTCATCATCCTCGCTAGTAGCAGTATTATCAACACCAGTAGCAATGTCTCTAGTTGTAGAGGGAACAGTGGTGGATTCTGCAGAGTCAGCAGTGGGATTGGCTGGAGTGGCAGCAGAAGCAGCAGTAAAGTCGATGGAATTCGTAACAGTATTAGCGGCACTGGTGATAGTAGTAGAAACAGCAACGGCAGAAGTGGTAGCGTTAGTAGTAGTAGTAGTAGTAGTAGTAATAGCAGCAGCAGCAGTAGTAGTAGCGATGATAGTATCGGTATTAGCAGCAGCGGGAGTAGCGGTTATAGCGTTTGCTTCAGCAGTGATCTATAATGTGATAATAATGGTAGTAGTAATAATAATAGCAGCAGTAGTAGCAGAAAATAAAACAATAGATATGAATAGATATAAAATCCTACCTTCTTAGGTTTCCTTTTTACAGTTTTCTCTACAGGTATCGTCAAAAGCAAAAGAATAAAATATACCATCGAACCCAAAAATATAATCTCCAAAACCTTCAATTTCCCATCGAGACATGATTCATGCACAGGGGAAGGGGACGCAAATCTTAAAATTAATACATAAAAGCCAGAGAATAAAAGATGTATCATCGAACAGAGAAAAATAAGGTGATTGATAAAACCATGGATAAGAAGAGGGAACATTTTAAGAGTCTTTGTTTTCCTATCAAAGACTATTCTTCTCTAGAACCCTTGCTCAACATGGTCAATAACGAGTGGTCTAATATCAAGAAAATTACATTTCCTGACGAATACAAACACTGGAAAGGTGAAGAATTGTATAATTTTTATATCGAGCCGTATTCGGTAGATCGTGTCTATTTTTGTGAAAGTACATGGATAATCTTAAGCGAATTTCGCATGCTACTAAGAATTCAGTATAAGTCTAGACCGCTGTACGTGGAGCTTCTCTATGCCGAACATGAAAATGAAATCAAAGTAATGATTCTCACTTATCGTATCCAGCGTTTTATAGACTCGATAGTAAGCGACTACGGTGAACGAGAAAACATATTAAAATTTATGCTAGATGACGATTCGAACATACAAAGGTCTTGGGATACCGATTCGTCGTTGAAACATCTTTGTTGTAAAACAATCTACAGCTACCGGTATAAGTGCTGGGGTGCCCTTATCGACAAGATCATATCTAGGCTAATGTGGAATAAGATAAACGATAATATAGAAATGCAGAAAATTAAAGACACTTACGAAAGAAAAATATGTATGATTAGCATGGTAAAAAAACAACCAGATTTATATCCTTGGTAAAGTTTAACATAATCTCTATTCTTGATGAGGTTTAATATAATCTTTAAAAGATATTTTGTCGTAAGAAAGATAATGTGTCGATGCAAGACTGGAATGAACAGGCGTTTAAACCTATATTCAGAGGAGACGGATGGGCATCAGAAAATAACGAAAACGAATAAGGCTCATCACTCGCTCATAAATATGAGACAGCCCAAAGATTTTTTTTTGGTTACTGAAAAGGATCATGATTGAAAAAGAATTACTGACTTCTAAATTATCAAAAGACTCTTCTCTCTGTCTCCCTATGATAATAACAATAACAATAATAATAATAATAATGATAAAATCTCTTATAACTTCTTCTCTATTATTTCTCCTTCACTATATTTACCACATTCATTAATCTGTCCGTATGATAACAACAAATATTTTCCTCATATGGTTTGACACACACAGCGATGTGCACATATACAAAAACGAATATAAAAACCTCTGCTAGTCGACTTTCGTTAGGATAGACCCAATTTGACAGGGATGAATCTTAGTTCACCTTGTAGTATCAAACTAACCTTCACAGACTCCCTCTTCATCTTCCTGTTTGTCGAAGTGGGATCCATTGACCGTCGTCGATCGAAAACCGTACAATGACTTGTCCCTGGAGACTCAGCACCTGACAACTTCAGCTACTTAAAATTCTGTCCTTACCGA